AAGGTCTAAACCTAAGGGTAACACTAAGCAACTGATGCAACCTGAGCAGGAAGTAGTAAATCCACATTTCAGCCGTGCTTGATGCGGAGGCATCTAATTTTCGGTGAGGTACTGTCAACCCCAATGCTTGTCGCAAACATGCGACTGATACAAAACGTTAATTAAAAACGATATTGCAAACCTAGACGTGAGTGTAAATCCAGCAATAAAGACAGAGCCTATGCTGCAAGAAAACCTAACAAAACGGCATTTCGGTTAATAGAATGCCAACAGTAGAGTAAACATCGACTCCAACACAAAACAGCAAAGTAGTCCTCGACCCAAACCTAAACCTTAAAGTTAGAATTAGAAGCAAACCATAAGTCAAAGCCCAAACACAAACCACTACCCCGAACGTAAGCCTTCGTCTTAATTTAACGATAACTATAGTTAAAACGGTAAAGCTAATTCCTAAGCCTGGCCCATGCCTTCTACCCCTAACCGCAATCCTAAGATAAAATTTATTTCCACGTCTAACTCTGACCCTAATCCTAGCAGCAAAGTTAACTCTATCACTGAAGTCAAAGAATCTTACTTCCACCCAAAACTCCAAGTGGACCTCTAGCTCTAAACCCAAACTTAGCCCTTATCCCGAAGGCTAATACAAATCCGAAAACTAACGTTAGCCAGAAGGCGGAACATCATCTGGTAGTTTAAGCTAAGACTGACCTCAACAATATGCTTATTAATAGCTTGTTTGCCCCTTTAAATTTCTTTTTGTGAGTTAGGGCTTAAAACAATAGGACGGACAGCATGTTGAGCTGTGACAATGCGAGCTCACGGAGCATCAGGCAATGCAAAAGCCGACCTAATCACAGCGGTGGCTGGACACTGCTAGCGTAGGAAACTGTTATAAAAGGAAACTGCATGAGTGTGGTCGGGTTTTGGAGGCAGGGACAAGGCAAGCGCCAGCGGATGTGAGCTCTCAAACCCCTGCTACAGAATAACTTTTGTTTGCCCGCATTTTCCTTTTAAACATTTCGATAGCAATATAAGTGTATAGGCCTGGAGAAAATTTATCGAAAGCTTATGTGTGCTCGCCAAATTGTCTTTTGAATTCTTCACCGCAAATTTTCGCAACTTTAACACATTTCAATGTGTGTATCGCAATCATATGCAGATCTTGTGCCTGCCAGCTTACCGATCCCCAAAGTCCTGAATGTTTGCCTCTGGTTCAATTTAAGAACAATCTTTGGACAGTGCGTTGAGCTGGTATGTCTGCACTGATTCTCTCCTGCGGGATGCCGACCTCGCTGGCAGCACTGTCACTGACGTGCTCATATGCGAAACGGTTGTCAAGTAGCGTAAGTAAAATGTAGGGCGACGTAGAAGGCAGAATTAAGGCCGTTAGTAGGCCATTTTTGAATGGACTTTTGACAGAAGCGCGGTCTCGTCAATACTTGTTGTTAAAAAAGTGGGCTATCGCAGGAAAACCTTGACAACTGTCGACTGGAAATCACACTGCCCACGCTGTATTTATGGTCGGCAGCACATTACTAATCGGTTCAGGATTTTTTTGAGTCTTTCACCAAAAAACACGTTATTTGGGCCATTTAAAGAGAATCATCGAGAGAAGTGCGCCTCTAAAATTACATAGCCTATGTTTACACCTGGATAAAAACCAGCAATCGTCAATAATGAGTTCAAAACGAAGGATGTACCACCAGGTTTTTTGTAAACATTATCGCCCAATCCCCTTCCAAAATTACGAAGGAGAGAGTCAACAATTCAGCTGGATGGAAATGTAAATATTACTTAAATTTGGCTGTTTTGCGGAAGAAACCGGTGGCCTGCACAGATTCCATTAAAATTCTCTTAATATCCACTCAACTGTTTAACATTCTAAAACTTAAAACGTTTTAGAAAGATTATTGCAAGGTATCCTTATTTACAAGTGAAAGAAAGCATGGACGCGAGCGACGTTGGCAGGACCGACTTAGATATGAAACAGACTGAAGACTCCCAGTCTCTCTAAGCCTTCCATCTAGTCTAAAAGGAAAATACATCTGTTAACTTTATTTCCTGTGTCCTAGCTACAAATGTTTTGCAGGTTGCCATGTGCAGATTGTGAGAGACATCGTCCAGGCTAAACCCCTATAGGTTCTGTTGAACAGAAAATTGGTTGATGCCTTAGTCGCCTGCATAATCGTATAAATGCGGTTTATCTGTCGGCTAGGCATGCAGATTGATACTGCATTTATGTTGAATATCTTATGTAGATCTCCTATGAGAAGTTCACTGCAGCCCAGGTGCAGACATGGTAGTGCCAGTATACGAAACATTGCTGATATGCAAAATCAACTTTGATAATTGAAGCGGCAATAAAGTTAGTAGATGCCCATAACAATGGGTAAACAGCGATAATGGCCCTCCACAGGACCTGCCGTCAAAATTTTCACCACCCCCCGGACGGCTGGAGTGACATACATAAGTCCTGCGTAAGTCCTGCAAGCGCCTGAATAGTTATAACGAAGCATTTATACGTGGGCAAGTTAATGCTAACACATAATACTCCCAGTAAAGAGTGCCAGTGAATGACAAGAAACCTAACTCCAAGCTTCGACTAGGACTACTTTTATTTGTGAAACGGCATGAAGCTGAGCTTGTCTGTTTGGACTAGCCAATTGACGGCTATGGATCCGTGCAGTGTCGGCGCTGGCAGAATGTAAACCGCTCTAATATATTCCTCTAAACGGCTTAATTCAAAACCTTAACTACGCAACTTTGTCTTTCCCGAATAGTTTTCCAGACGTCTTATTGTACGGCGGACGTATCCCACTCCACGGGAGCAAATGAATGATTAAATGCACATAGATATGGCCCACTCCTTCCGCAGAGGCCATCTAAGCAGGCAGACAGACGGTGTGGAGATGGACCCACAGCTTGGACCATCCTTCGCGGCGAAGAAATGCGTATTCCTGACAAACAGCCTCCTCCTACAGTTGGGTGGTAACCAGCGAACACCGCTGCAGGCCACGTCGGTGTGCAATTACTCATTCACGTGCTGCTGTGGAGCGGGATATATGGGCCGTACAATGAGATGTCTGGGAAAGAGGACATGCGAACACATAGACATCTGGCTATGCAGAGGTGAGAATAGATCGGTATCGAGTTATATTCTCGCACATCTTGCCGATAAAGATCACTGAGTCGACGTTGAACAAGCCTTTCAGGTTGTCTGCAGGCACCAGCAAACCTCTCTAAAGCCTATCCCAGCAGCAACAGAGGAGGCGGCTATTTGGTTAGCGGACTCAGCTCTTTTTGTCACACTACGTTGGTGCAAATGCTCTATTTCCTGTGGACGATGCCGACTCAAGGTGATGGTCGCACGCAACCCCAAACCTCTTGATGACAGTCATGCGCGCTCCGCCAGTTTAGCCTACAAACGCCCCTCAGACATTACCCCCACACCCCCCTCCCGCAGCCCTAATGACGACAACACGCCGACCTCTTCATACGGCCGAAGTGGGAACGACAAATGTTACTAACCCCTGAGACGCTTTTAAACGCTCCCACGAATCATATCTTTATTCTCTGTGATTGTATTGGCCTGATGATGAATTACTGGAAAAATGTGTTTTTTCAGCTTGACTTTTTAAGTCTAACATTGGAATATTTACAGAACTCAGAGGGCTCAAAGAATGTTTTGTTGTAAGTGAACTCTAATTTCAGGTCAATCTTGAAGCAATTCAAAACACCAGAAGGACCAGTAGTAGTCTGTGCTCGAAAGTAATGCATATTTAAAATTTTAAAAATCAATCTTTTAATTCGTGAATTTCAATTTGTTTAAACAGTGAAGTGGGGTTTACTTTAAAGCTGAATGTTTGTCTTCGGAGTTTCGCTGAAAATGTGGGTTGCAAATACATAAATGCATTTGCTTAGGAGGGCTTGGACAATAGGCGACTCCTCAGTATAAATGCACTAATTTATGAGGGTTCATTTTCTTAAAATTTGTCAAAAATCCTATGTTCTTATACTTCTTTTACTATGCCGATGGTTCGTTAGACCCATCTTTAAGCCATTCGACAATAAGGAATTGCAAATTAGCAGAAAATCCACGCGAAATGGCCAAGTTCACAAACAATTTCTTTCTAGCTAAGCTTTTGATATTTTTAGCTGACGGGCAGTGAAAGGTAATTTTAGATTAGCTCGTATTGATTTATTTGCTTTAAACTTTCTATACTGCAAAGTCAGCTGAGCCCATAGAGCTGTATTTTACTTTAGTGTACAGGCATTTTATTCTGAAGAATGGGCTAAACTTCTTATGAGAGTTGCCAGAGTATTCAATTAAGATTTTTTATGTTATTTTAAATATTATGTTTCCACTCGATAACAAGTATTAGTCTCTACCCTTTGCAGTTATCAAAAAGGTCATTTTCGTTGTAAATGCAAAAGTCCCATCGCACTGTAGTGTAAGAGATTGAAGATGAGTCTGCGCAGACGCTGACATATTACGACCGTAAAGTTTAAGTCTACGACCTGCTCAGGAATTTTGGTATGTCAAAAAATCTACTATATTTTCGGAAACGTGTTTAATATATGAAGTGAACTGTTTACTTACGCTCTCATCCTTAGCCGGTTGACAGACTCCCCCAGATGCTTTCTGGGGTTTGGAAGTAGAAACTACCAATGACAAAGAATATTCTTGCCGTCTAATCCTTTGTATATACCTCGAGTACTTATTCAACTGCCAATCTAATTGGCAATTAGAGACAAGTCTGAAAAGAACTTAAACGCTGCCATGAAAAAAACTAACAAAACCAGGGAAATATTTATTTGTAACACTCATTTAAAACGTTTTAATGAAAGTTACTTTAATTATTAAAGTAGTTCTTATATGTGCACGCCAACGAGAGTGCATAACACGAGCCAAAACAAGCTGCTTACGCATATTCTGCCGGAGTGGACTTCCTCACGGAACGGACTTCGAATTCAACTAACAATTTGAATGCTTAGATAACTTAATTCACTTCGCTTCGCATTAAATGTATGCCAGCTTGCTTACTCAACTGTTCTCTTATTCGCTTCTTCTGCTTCATCCTCCTATTCTGAAACCATATTTTCACCTGTGACTCTGAGAGACTTAGTTCAGCCGCTATCTCCAGTCTACGGCTTCTGGTAAGATAACGGCTAAAGTGAAATTCCTTCTCCAGTTCCGTTAGTTGCTGGTTACTGAAACTGGTACGGACGGTGCAGTTAATTGAGGACGTCGAAATCCAGGAAGTCGGCTTGACAACTTCTCTCATGGCAGCTGTTGACCATTCTGACCGAGACTTGACCTGCTTTGAGTCGAATAGATGTTCACGAAGATAAATTCTCCCGTCTTCCGACTCGCTGGTTTGAAACTTCTGGCCTCCATCTAATCCTGGGTGGTACTGTTCTGAAAAAGTAAAAAATTATTTCTTTCGGTACTGCAGACAGGCGGTGGAATCACATGCTTGCGGAGACTGTTTCACAATTGAGATGGTTATCAGCTTAGTATATGTTTCGGCCAAAAAAGCTGTTCTACCCAAAAGGTATTTGTGGAACTCAATGGGGATCGATGTTGTCTGGGGAAGCAATGATAATTTACCTCCAATTTCTTTACAGTACCTCGTCAAGGTTACTTTTTCTATCCATACCTACTATGATTCGGTGGAAAAAAATGTCCCGACGAATGGGGCGTGTACAGGAATTGCACTCGACGGGAACCTCCACCGACTCTCCTTGTGTCGTCAACGTGCTAGTGGCTCAGGTGGTACAAATTGGACATCATTAACTCCCACATCACCCTATGAGAGTCGATATAACGTCATACTTAGGAAGAGTTTCACATCCTGGCTTGCAGTCCTAAGGAGCGAGCTATACACTCCGTTGACAATCTTTCATGTTATGAATTTTTGTGCGCAGTTTAACTGCACATCAGATTTATTAAAATCACAGAAGGTTAGACAGATAAGATTTTTCTGTTCCTCCACTCTCAATATGTTTGACAAGGACGAGACCGTATCACTCTGAAGAACGAGGAAATCCGTCATGCTGACTTTCGCGGCAAAAAGCCGCCTTCTTTCACCTACTACGCCCGCTTACGTCCACTGTTTTGATCCGATTAATCAAGGTTTTCCACTTGACGGACCCGACCATTTGATCCGAGAAGCTAGTGAACGCCAGCAAAGTAGTGAGCATGGCCCTTATTTCCACGATATTGACGAGGATGCAGGTCCAGCCGAGTTACTGGCGGCATGTCACTGTCCGTCTGCGTCTGGCGTCAACAAGTGGAGACATCTCGTTCTTCCCTGTCGAACAGTCTTTCTCGTTCGACAGTACAGAACAGTGGTGGGAAAATTTGTCCTTGGGCTTATTCAAACTAATGAATGTTTGCCGAACCCTCGATTATAATCGCGGTCGACGTGAGTAAGCAGCATTCCGTACAACCGACATTACTACGGAATGCCGTGGGGGTGACTTCACCGTCAGAGGATGAAGAAGTTTATCTATGCTTCCCAGGTACTACACTTATGTCTGTGTAATACAGACGACTATGCACTAGTGCAAGTTGATATGCACATCCTCCTGAGAAATATTGTTCATTTAAGCTTTGGGCTTAAACATTGATCCTAACGCTAGGCTCAGATGACAAGCGTTACTCAGGCTTTTTAATATCTTAGACAATGAGATAATGCTAAAATTGGTAGACCTTCAATGGAAATTTTCAATTTCCAGCACACGTTAGTCTACATCGCCATTCAATTTCCCCATGTGAGACTCCATCGACTGCCCAAGACTCCTCCTATACTTGAAATCAACTTTTGTCATAAGCAGGTTTAGACTTACAGCTCTGTCGATATGTCTCGGATAGGCAGTGTAGCGAAGACTAATCTACGTGGGGGCCTAAATCGCGACCCGTATAGTCATTTCCTAGGCATTCGCCTACAAATTTCGTACAAATATCGACTTCAGCAGGTGGGCTCCTGTTATGGTTTAGGGTTTGGAATTTAGTTTTAGGGTTAGGGTCTAGGATTACAGTTAGGGGCTTAGGGTTTAGTATTTGGGTTAGTATTTGGGTGTTAGGGGCTTACTGTTACTGTTAGTTGTTGGAGGTTAGGGTTAGGGTTTTCAGTTCGGGTTTAGGGTTATGACTTAGAGTTAGGGTCTAGGTCTAGGATCTAGAGTTAGGATTTTGGGTTAGGAGTTAGCGTCAGGATTTAGGGTTATTATTTAGGGTTGGGGTTTAGGATTCTCCGGTTTACCAGTGTGGCCGCGTTTTAGGCCTCTGAACGAATCTGGACTATAGCGAGCTTCTTTGTTTATCGGTACTCCTGAACTTAGTGCATTAAACGGTAAATGACGAAAACGGTGGATCATTTCCGAGAATGAATTACAGTTCGCCCCGAAAATCATCAAGCGTCTACTCAACTAAGTGGAGAGACAATAAAAATACACGAAGTGACAATGAAGTTGGGTTAGACGTTTGATGACAACAGGACAACATAACAGCTAATTATTCCCCGATCAGGACAGTGATTGGCCGAGCAGTCATCCCTGTCTTCTTTGCCGCCTTCAGTCACTTATACCTTCACTTAGAGGCGAAGTCATAGAGCAAAAGGAAATAACCAATTTAGCCCAACTATCAGACCAGATGGGTGAGCGTCATTCTCATCCGATTTTTATTAGTATGGATTATAACTTGCAAACTCAGGGTTCGCCTCCCAATGCATTCAGTGTTTGACCCAATGACTAATCGCGCTTGGATTCAAACCTTCCCTCTACCCCACACCTCGGGGTTGGGTATGATTGGCTTACGACGGCTAATAAGCCGGAAACTGCCATTCCAATCTCCCTTGTCTTTGTCAGTAATTATATTCCACCTACATTACGCGCCGCTGAGTGGTTGCTGGCGGGGCTCGAGAGTGAGCTCCAAGGCACAAGGGGATGAATAGGTTTCGTAGCGCAATGGCGAGCGCCCTTCAACCATTATATATGTATATCGAGATAAGCCAACTTGCCAGTGGACGTACTTATAGCCACTCAAAACAATCTCCTTAAAGATGCCACTAGCACGATTGTGCCTACTTTGCATTCGGTTCGGAGTAACGACGAATTGTCGAAAATAGATTTTTGAGGTGTCCGTCTTTTATGGAACGTGATTATCCGGTCTTGCCTTGGAGCACCCGTTTAGATCCCGTTCATAATATTGTTTAGCAAAGACCAATCAACAGTAGTCGAGTTTCACAACAGAAATGGGGGAAACCAACCAGCTATTTCTGAGAGGCGGCTCGTGACCCAGTGATAAAGCACTTGATCCAATAATCGATGACCTTATGAGTCCTTTGGCTTCGCGATCAGTGGATGGACAATAGCCTTCAGCCGCCTAAAGACAAGCTGCAAAAATCAGTCTAATTCCTAAGGCTGTTCGTCTTTACTACTTAGGGAGTTGACAAGGCATGCATTTCGCAAAGCTGTATTGTCAAAACTAGGGTGTTTTTGAAAATAACTAGTTACCTGGTAGACAGAATCCTTCATTTTGATATTCGCATATTGCGAGGGTGCTGCAGTCCACTGACGCAGGTTTTTGACCCTGCTCACAAAGTAAACCAAATTTGTTTTTATTTTCAAATACTTTACTATGCTTAAGATTCGATTTCAAAAAGGAGGACTTTTTCAGTAGACACGCGTACACGGCGGATTATAACCTTATGAACATATCGCAAGACGGTTTTGAAGATATATCTCATCTACAGGGTTGTGAAAACCGATGTAAGCTAAATTTTAGAGCATAGTATCGGAAGTTAGCGCAGTGTTCCCTGATACCACTTTAAGGAAGGGAAGTTATTCCTGTTTCTTTTAAAATAAATTAACCGGTCTATCATATTCATTGGAAATTACCAGTTCCTTCTCTAGGGAGAGCATCACACCTCGCGGGGCAGCTCCTTTATGGAAAACCAGTTGACCAACTGGCTCAGCATTTTTCCTTCGTTCATCCGAATTCAAGCCCAATCTACGTGGACTGGCAACATGAACAGTTGGCGAATAACAAATGTGTTCCTACAAATAAAGTAATTGGTGCAATTTTTCTCGGAGGACGGGAGTTAACGAGACTGACTGCTGAGCGCCCAGCCGTTGACAGCGCCGTTTGGACGGGACTACTGACTAGGTTTCCAACCGGTGGTCCCTTTCAGCCCGTCCTCCGAAAAAAGAACGTTGGGTAGTCTGATTGCGAAGCTGTTTCAAAAGCGTGCTCTACGTGAGGGGCGAACAACGCCAAATGTGCTGTAAAACGCGTACTTCTGCCACTTTATAATACTGTATATAAAAAACAAAAGATTCCTTGGACGGGGCTACTACCCCATCCAGCACCGTTTGGCCCCGCCTATAGGTTAGGGTAGTGTGCTGTTAAAGAGTTTACGACCGATAACCCCAGAGAAAGGGCCTCCGAAACTATTTGCGAATTTTATAATGTTTTTCGATGTTTACTAAAACCAGCGAGTTTGTGTTGGAAAAGTAGGCAGACTTCGCGAAATGTGCCTGAGGAAAATAACCCTTTTCCTTCTTCGCACATGGACTTAATGAGTGAAGTCACTAGCTACTTTTGTTTTAAGAATGTGTCAAATTGCGCACTGAGAAACAGTCTTCCTTTTAGCGTGTCCTGGTTATTTTCATTTTTCTGTAAGGAAGGCAACAAGTCCCTTTCACACCTTTAGGGACAGGACAGGAAAATCCGAGGATCTGAGAATACATAGGTAAAGTCGAACGGGACGGCTGACTGATCCCTTATCAATGACCTTCTGAAAACGCAATATTCCGTTTTAAGAACCACAAAGTTTCCGGAAACCTAACTTTCAATGAAAAGATATTTGAGGAACGCATTGTATAACTTATCACCATGGAGATTATTGTACTGTATATAAACATCAAAAGTTGAGGGAAACACCAGTACTGTTTAAGTAGTGAGTTTTGTAAGAAGGGTTCTCTTAAATGGTTGAAGAGATTTTCAATGAGAGACTAGCGTTTAGCGGCGCAGTAACCGCCTTGGGTTTCTTCTTCCTACTTATCACTAACACAATTTTAATTATGTGTTCATTTGAGTTTGGCCAATTACTTGAAAGTTCTGGTCAAAGATTTATGAGCTTTAGGGCTGACGAACACTACACATAAAACAGTAAAATGCTCTGATAATTACTGGTATACTGCAAAGTCCTTTTGATTAGCTGGAGTTAACTGGATGGCCTCATTTACTGAAAATGTAGCCGCGACTTCTAATGCATTGTATGCACGGTCTTTGAAAGACGATAAAAATTCCTAGGTGTTATTTGTTACGCTGATATTTAGTTTTTTACCCCTCTCGTAAGATGAGAAGCTCAAACGTTTAAATGTCAAGACATTTCGTCTTTCAACTGGGTCGAAAAGCATAGTATGTATCTTGAGAGGGACGGATTAAGTTATTTCATCCAGGCATATCGATGGCTGAAACTTCGAGGCACTTTCAGAGGTTCTAATTTTGTAGTAAAATCATCAAATCACCGTCTAGCGGACATTATGTGGTCCATTTGTCATATGCACAAGAACCAACTTTCGGAAATCCTACGTAGAAGCCGGTTAAGTCAACTACTTGTTTTTGTATTTTACCGATTACTTTGAACACGCTAATTTGTCTCCGTAAAAGGGCATACCACATTTCCTAACTATTATATTTGACCAAACCTGGATTATGATGCGTTAGAAATCAATCAAGAGAAATTCTATTACAATCACTAAACAGCTGCGAGGATCGGACACCCTTTTCGAAACTTTCTAATATAAGTGAAGAAGAAAAGTTGAGCACCGGAACACTTTGTTTATTGTCCTGAGATTTCAGACTCGCACAGGAGTCCATCGTCAGAGATAGTAGCAGCAGCAGAACAAGCGATGGTTATAAGGCATGTAGGCCAACCGACGGCGCAAGACTGGAGGTGACTACGCAGGGCTACTTGACACCAACATTCGAAATAGTATCTAGACTTAAAAAAGAAAGAACAGTGATATGGACAAAGGAGACTGGGAGGTCACTACTGGCTTATTAGCCGTCGTCAGCCAGTTATAATAAACTCCGGATTTTCAAGACCTGGGATTCGAACACGGAGTATTTCATCGTCGAGCGTTTTACAAATCCGACCATCTGCTATTGTTCCGTCGGTTTTGATGGTAACCAACAAACATACTGGGCGGACGTTCACTGACCTGACTATGGGACCCGCAAGTCCCGCCGCACATTTTGGCTCGATTCAGAGCCCTCGCAGTCTTGTCTTCAGTAAATAAAATGCCATCTTAGAGCGAACGTTATCTTCATCAGGTAGTCCACAAAAAATTAATCCCATCGCCTCTGTAACTATTCTAACTCCATAGCCAGGACTTAGTAGTCAATTAAAACAACCACTTACAGCAGGCGGCCTAGCTTATAAAATGTAACCCGAAATTCCGAATTCCGTTTTCGTTTGGCGCACTTTTCGGGGCACAGCAACACCGCTCGGTTAGGAACGGACCATCTACAAACTTTCAAGTTAAATCACATACAGTAGATGGGCTAACTCATGAAATGTCAACTAAAGTTCCGAAATGTGTTTTCGTTTCAAAAAGATAAGTAGGGTTGTAAACTAGTCGGTCTGCAGTATAATTTCATAGTAATTCAGTTACCGCAGGATGCCTGCCTTCGGAAGAACTTCCTTCCGGCTGCAAACAAAAACTGCACTCAGCAAAAAGTGACTACTTAAATAGCATGCATTTCTCTCATTGATTTTCGATGCCCCTAAATGTCCAGTTATATTTCATGGAAAGCATGCATAAAAATATTCATTCTTTCGCTCATTCGGTAGATAATTACGTCTTCTTCCAATTTTTTACTCGAAGTAGGGAGATAATTCGGTTTTTAAAACATTTCTAATTGTGAGACGTTTTATAACCGTGAAGTGGCCGTTCATAAATCGTCATGTCTCTGCATTTATTAATGTAGCTTGTAAAGTTAACAATATGGATCAAATCCAATGTTACGTTTTATGAACTCTATATGGTCACCGTTTAATACCGTAGAGAAGTGTGTGGTTTTCCGTACGCAGAAAATATACGCGGAAACCCTGATTCCAAGTGTAACGGCAGAGCGGGTTCAAAATTATTCGAAAATTGGAAGCGTTTTTGAAAAACGAGTTATGCGCTATCTTCCGGCATGAGATTGGAAGAAGACGTAATTTTCTACAGAATGTGCAAAAGAAGGAATATTTTGATATATTTTTCCATGAAATATAACTGGACTTTTAGGGACATCGAAAGTCAATGAGAAAAATGCATGCTATTTAAGTAGTCACTTTTTGCTGAGTGCAGTTTTTGTTTGCAGCCGGAAGGAAGTTCTTCCGAAGGCAGGCATCCTGCGGTAACTGAATTACTATGAAATTATACTGCAGACCGACTAGTTTACAACCCTACTTATCTTTTTGAAACGAAAACACATTTCGGAACTTTAGTTGACATTTCATGAGTTAGCCCATCTACTGTATGTGATTTAACTTGAAAGTTTGTAGATGGTCCGTTCCTAACCGAGCGATGTTGCTGTGCCCAGACAAGTGCGCGACACCGTAGGGCTGATGCGTTACGATAGGTAGAGTGCTTTTGTTTTGTAATAAACTTCATAATGCGAATGTATGCCGTATATTTAGGTGGACGTGTGTAACGATGGGGAAGGTTGGGTAACAGCGACCATCGTCCATGTAATCTCCTGCGATGTTCGTTCGGCCAGCCCATGTTAGGCCGTTGCGGAAAGTCCAAGTAGTGCGTGAAAGTAGGCCTGCAACCGCTGATATAGCCTGAAGGCGTTTGAGTCCACTGTTAAATGTATAATTTCTATGTAACGGATTTTTTGGGTGCCATCTACCGATTGTTAGCCTGTGCTAGAACTCGTTTCACGTCCATCTCAGTCAGGTTTGCCTTTGGTGTGTGTGCTCTGAGGGGAGAGATCAGGTAACATCAGCTCTGTGCATATTTTCCGGGCTATGGTGATCCATGACTAGGTGACACGCTAGACCCTCTCATTATAATTAAATTTACGCATACATCACTACAATAATGTCTTTACGAAGGTACTTGAGGGGAAAAATGAACAGCTTGGGGGTATTTACCTAAATTATCATGGCGACTGCAGACTGGACTTCTTTGTTGATCCGCAACTTGTAGGAATCCCTTCTGCAATATCCTGCAGTTAGTTGCTTTGCTACATTTCTCTCCACGGAACCATAGAGCCGATACAGTTTTGGCGCCTAACGGTGCCACTGTTCCTTCTGATAATAGCGGATTGACTGTCATCTCAAGCCGACTTTTAGTTAGTTTATAAAAGTGGTCGTCCGATGGCATGCAATGCATGCCTTCTTGAACTGTTGTCGAGGGGGAAGTGGCAAATGGATCCACTGATGTGCTCAGTTTATACGTGGAGGGATAACTGTCGGAGGACGTGATGTCATTGGACGATAAGTTAAAATCTTGATAATATGTCACATTTGGCCCCACGATGATACCGGCCTGATGTTCAGGCAAACCATGTTCTTTTGTCTCAAAGTACATGGTCCTCCGTTCGATACTGTCACATTTTGTTCCTGATCGTTTTTGTGGATTGCTCATTTGAACGGTTGGCTTGGACGGAGAAAGTGCAGTCTGGTTACTCCCAGAAGCAAACAGATTTAGTGCTGTAATATTTGCGTCGCACATCCAGCAGAGATTCCAGAGTCTAAATAGGTAGAGAAAAATCTGGAAGACAATGGAAGACAGCACCTGACAACGGGCAAGTAGAAGCAGGAGTGATAGGTGTGTCGCTTGTGATCTATGACCCCCTTTAGAAGCGCACAACCATTCGGCCATCACGTCCATGATTAACTTTTATTTGTCGACACTCGCTGTACTGCGACGCCATCCGACGTGTTGATTGGCGCAGACAAAAGCACTTTCTCACAATCCACCATTGTGTGAGGGGAAATAGTATCCTCATTGGTCGACCGGGTTTGGAGTTAGTTGGCGGCCAACCGACTCCAGTAAACAAGATGAAATAAAATAGAAAACAATCCAAACTTGGAGGCTTCGCTTTCATTCTTGATTTACTTACTTTCAAGTGTTTGCTCGAAAAGGGGATCGAAGACTGTCCGCCATGCTCAAACAGGTAACTCAGTAAGGGCCACCTTAATACAGGGTCAGTAGACTTCATGAACCAATTATGCTTCTTGATTTTCAACCGTCCCAGACCACGTGTAGGATCGATGTCTGAGAGATTACGCTTACCCCTGCTTATGAATGATGTCAAATTACTGCCGAGTTTTATGCTGGCACTCATAATAAAACTACAGAAGGACCGTGAAATGGACATTTTCCAATATGCTCATTTTTCAATGCAGTAGCGCTTGTGGATTAATTGAGGAAAGGGGACTTATTCTGAATTGGAAGGTAGTATTCAGTGAATCAAGGAGTCCTTTTTCCGAATACCTCATGCCAGGAAATTACGCCTACTTTTCTAGATTGGATTTCTGAAGCTTTTATAGTGATTAATATATTTCGCGCGTACATCGTCGTCTAAACAGGCTCATGGAGGTTCAGGCATTTACTTAATGCCTAGTAAGTCAATGATTTTAAGCCCATATAGAGGTCGTCCTTTTGTTGGAATATCTACTTCCCATTTTTCTACATGTCTGAATTAAAACATGCGCCTCCAGTAGTTTGCGTCCAATCAGACAAAATAAGCAAGGGAGTAGCCTTTTTATCCCGGCAACATACAAAAAGGCGGAGACTCAAAATCTAGCTCCGATGTCAAGAGATGAGCACAAATTTTTCACTGAAGATAGACAAATTTTACTTTTTGGAGAGTGCCCAATAGGAGAATTAAGTACTCTTTTGACCGACTCAGACTTGCTAAGGTGTCATTTAAGGCGTGAACTTTGCAAATGGACGTATGCAGGCTCTGATGACGCTTCCGACCCATTTGAACTATTAAGCCAGCTGTATCTCAATATCAGTCTACCAAAACTCGCCAGTTGGAGCCGATTCAGCTGCTGAGTCGACCTTACTCATGAGTTCTAGCGGGGGACCTACGGGCTCGGGATGTGATCGGGAATGTCATGACGTTTGGGAATGGCGTAAGTCGTTTTGCCTGATGACAGGAGCACAATCGTTTGTGTGACAGAGAGACACCATCACTGGCGCTTAGAAATTTAGGGAAAATCCTCTGGAACATAATTTAAGTAGTTTCTTTGACCAGTGGCGAACTATAAGTTGTGCATTTACTCGACAAACATTATTTATCTTCTCTGATAATATGACAGCAAATGCTCCACCCGACCGAAATCTGTTATTTTCAATCCGACCGCTAACGGAAGGACGGTTAGGGCCAAAAAGTACCGTTAGCATTTAATAGATGAAGGAATAACTGTCTCTGCTTTATCTTGCTCGTCCATCATGAAGACTATTAAAGTGGGATTTACTGTTTTACACTTTAACCCCATCCTTTGCTGAAGGACAAAATTGAGCCAATTCCGTATGACCTCTTATCTACTGCCACATATGTGTATGACATCTGCTGGACGGAGGCGTACGACGGGTTAGGCATTGCACTCAGTTTTATCATCAATCGATCGACAGGCTCGGGTAGGCCACTGATGTACATGAGGGGAAAACATAGTGAAGCCACTGCTGAGATATACATCGTCATAGGAATCCAACGCGTTTATCCTAAGGATAATTTTTTACTTTCTATGATCGTGGCTTTGGAAACTGTCGATCAGCAGGTTATTTCGATCCCGCTCCGACAGCAACGGCAGACTGCACTGACTGTGGCCTTTTCGTCACTTTCCATTGCATGAAATCCGAGACCTTAATCAAGCCCGATTCGTGTGCAGTTATGACTCAGGTCGTGCGTATAATGTACAGATGGATTTTTTTGTCTTGCCAGCGAGTGCATCCATGCAAGTTTGTAGTTGTCCGAGTTCTGTTTTGCTCTTTGAACAAAATGGGCGGGGGAATAGAGGGTGAAGTAAATACTGTGCAGAGTTGCTTTGCTTTGCACAACTTGTTGCGTAGGTCACGACCTCGCTCGCCCAAGGGAGTGTTATACATCATTATTCATGAAGTCCGAACTACCGGATAACGAGGTGACAACGCGGTCATATAATAGACGCGCGATTTTAGATCACATACCCTTTGGTGAGTAAGAATTCAGTTAGGTCGGGAAAACGTTTTAAATAAGCCAGTTACTCCTGTTGCTGCAACGTTTCTACGAAAAAAGAAAACGCTGGGCGGGGTGCGAGTGAATACTTCGATCGCGCGAGGATTTCGGTCGCTAGATTTCCCATATTGCATGCGGTCCTTTAGTCTTCTGACCTTTGGCCACGACACCTTTCAGGATGCCAAGCGGTAACTCACTGTGCAAGGGATTCCGCTGATTGTCGTCGTCTCCACAGCTGCGTGTAGAAGTTATCAGCCTTTTTACATCCATCTTCACGGTACTGTCCGTCGGATACGCGGCGATGAAGTCATTCGTTTTTTTGCTCTTTTCTTCTCAAGCTCTGCGGTTTTGGCAGATTGCGAAAATGCCCAATCTGTATTGCCACAAAATTAGCATATGCCTTATTTATCAAATCACATTTAACTTTTTCTCAGTCTCATAAGCAAGGTCTGGTATTTTTTTGTTTATTGAATATCTTGTTCGTGTGTACTTGAAACGACTTAGAAACTAAGGTTGTGTTTTTTCCGAAATTGCTTTCTTTATTTGAAGAAGATACAAATTAAGCATTCGCTTCCGGAGTCTACGTCGCCTTCCGTCAGGTCAAGTCGTAGGGGAAAAAATAAATATAGCATATATGAAACGAATTAGAAGAACCGATGAGCATTGATCATCAGTCCATTTAGGTCGCAGAACCACGACTAACCGCCATCGCTGGACCCTAAGCCAGGCGTATCTCTCAAGTGAGCGAATTTTTTTGGAAGAAATTGAGAAGATCGAGGATTTTCGACAAACTAATTGGTCAGATGTGCTTATGTAGCCCCACCTGAAGTAAGCAAACCCCAGCCACCTGTAATACGGAACCGGTGGTAATAGAGGTTTTTACAGGTGGGACCGGCGAACGAACAGGCGATGTGGTCAAGTAGTTGTATGCAAAAGAAGCGCTGTTGGGAGTGCGCATTTGTGCTTTGGGTGGTTGAGAAATAGTTTTCCGAACATCTAACCGTGACCCTAACCTCCAACCCCCTGACTCTAGCCCCTAACCCTAGCCTCTACCCATAACTCCTAAATCTAACCCCAGCCATAACAGTATTGTATCCATCAGGTGGGGCTGCATAACCACATCTTACCAACTAATTTTGGTAAGGCACGGGAATAAGCACCCGCCCTGTTACGGGTGGCTTTGCACCAAATTCCAGGGGAGGATTAGCGCTATAATTAGGGTCAGGAGAGCAATTGTTAATGTCGGGAGGATTGGTGATGGGGTTGAAGTTAGGACAGGGGAATAAGTACAACCTCGAAATTCATTGCAAGACCATCTGTAGTAGGGGGTACTTATTCCCCTAACCAACCCCAATCTCCTCAAATGCTCCGGTTCCAGCGGATCGATGTCATCTCCTTGGAAGTGTTTAAATACGCCGGTTTTTTTACTTACCAGTCTCGGAAGGTCTGCTTATTTGTGAATAACCTAGGAGCAACGAAAAACTGCTCAAGACCTCAATCGGAATTCGGCCTCCCTTTGACTTAGAAAACTCTAACAACCAAACAGTTAGCTAAACATATTTGTCATGTGTGGGCATGAAACTACAGTCTGTCAGGAATTGCAGATTCTTGACAAGCAGCTGATCTGAGTCGCTTATCCCAGAAGGTTGAATCAAAGACATCAGAGAATGCACAAGCTTGGCAACTTGGAGTGTCGTTAGCACTTTTTGGGGAGTTAGTAAATCTTTTGAACTTTGTCGCATTTATTGGCTGTGTAGATAACCCCTCCAGTTGATAGATGAAACTGAGACTCGCAAATGAAGGGCAATGATGGTCGGAGTCTATTGTTCTTCCTGACATTTCGACCTCTGGACGTTTCTGCCGGTACTGTTAAAATATCTCCCTGCTCAGTCGCCCACCCCTTCAACCACGAATCCTGCCCGGATAGCGACAGGAACTGTCAACCAGCATGACAGACTACTTGTGAGGCTGGAGCTGGGGGGAAGGCTTGTCTTTGAGGCACAGCCGAAAGGCTGCACGATTTTTCACCCTCACACGTTTGCCCTTTGCGGCCTCCTCCTTCCCATGTTGATGAATCTAATTGTTCAAGTCTTGACGACCGCCC